CGGTGTGGACATGTGTCTTTATTCAACCTCAAATACTATGTAACTATGTAAACTTTCAGCAATAGAAACTTTTGGGTACATGTTTTTATTGCTGATGCAATGTTGCAGTTTTCTGATCGTTGTTGGAACCATTAGAAAACCTTTAGGCTGGGTTCACACCTAGGCGTATTGAATATGCCCGTCTGTCGCGCGTTTCTTTTACAGCGATTCGCTACTTGGCTGTATCCCAATGGAAACGCCCAACAAAAACGGCACAAAGAAGTACATGTACTTGTTTGAGCGTAGGACGTTCCAGACGGGCGGAAATACGGAAAGGTGTGAACCAGACCCATAGAAAACAATGGATTTTCATGTTTGTACATTTTGTAGAGCGTTCATAGAGCCTTGAACGCGCGACAAAACGTAAAGGTGTGAACAGGGCGTTAGTGACATCTGATCCTGAAATGCTGCAGGATCCGTGTCACTAAGATTATTGTTGGCTGTTAAGTTTCACGCAGCCTAATAATAACCAAAAATTAATACACTTATAAAATGGTGAGATTTATTAACAATGACTGCTTGATATAATTAAATAAAATACAAATGTAAAAAAAAGTTTTAAAAAATAGTGAAACGTGTAAAAAAAATAAAGTGTAACAAATAAAAATAATATATTTAAATAAATTTTATACTATCATTAATATGAAAATTAACCCATTACAATGAAAATCGGTCTCACCTTAAGGGGTTAATTTTTTTTATTGAACCCCCTCTTGACAGTGATGTTCGAAGTATGTCACTTAGCCCTCGTTCACACCTGAACGTTTTGTAGCGCGTTCTACGCTCGACGAACGCTCTACAAAGCGCTCAAAAATATAAATCGCATTGTATTCAATGGTCTCGTTCCCACCTTGGCGTATTTCCGCCCGTCCCTAACGCGCTACAAAACGGCCCACGCCTGAAAAGGTACATGTACTACTTTGGGCCGTTTTGTTGCGCGTTTCCATTGGGATACAGCCAAGTAGCCTTCGGAAACACGCTATTGTCGCGCAACTTTTTTACCGCGAATTGCGGTTAAAAAAACGCGCGACAGACGCGCATATGCAATATGCCTAGGTGTGAACGAGACCTTAGTGACAGTGACATTATATGCCAAGTGACCACTTTTTTAGCTTTTAGAGAAAAAAAGATTAAAATGTCAGGGGTTAGGCCAAGAAGTACAGAAAAATGTCAGAAATCCTAGGGATGTGAGGGTTCTCCAAATAAAGGATAAATACATGAATGCATTTTTTTTGTAGCTGTGCTATTTTTCTAGAAAAAAATACTACAAATCAAAACTGGGGAAAAAGTGTTTTCTTTACATTTATTTCCTCTTTTTTTTAAAAATATTTAATTTGTCGTAAGTGAGGCGTTACAAACATGCAATATAAATATATAGCCCCATCTGTCCTCTAAAAAAACGAGATATAGTATATGTGGGCGCACTTTGTAAGAAAGTATATTACTGACGTGGAAGAATCACACAGCAAAAATGTCAAAAGTGCGTCAGTCATTTACGAACAAAACTAAAAACAAGCTCAGTCATGAAGTCGTTTTAAACTCTCAAACTTTTTGTTATAATAATGAATCTGGATCAAACAGATACACATCACTCAGCAAAGTATTGTTTTATATTTTTTCCAAAACACTTAGTCGTCTTGTTTCTGAACAGCTGCTTCCAAGTCTCTCAGCTCGGCTTCCTTGAACTTCGTGTCCAGCACAAGATCACAAGGGGCAGAGCAGTCTGAAGCAACTGTTCCATCTTATAGCTTAGGGAGGAGAGGGTTTTGGAGGGGGGAGGGGGGGTAGCTTGTTTTGCTGTTTCATTGTATTTGTGGAGACTCACACAGCTTACTAGCACACACAACGGTGACTGAATAGCACTCTGCTTGACAAAGGAGTCACTAAGGGCCCATTCACACCACATCCAGATCATGATCAGACCAGATTGTTTCCAGACCCAAAATGCATCCTAATGTATCCCTATGCTATTTCTGGCCTCTGTTCACACCATCACAGTCCGTTCCAGACCAGAAAAATACTGCTTGTCCTATTTTGTCTGGTATGGAATGCACTGGAACAGCGAGGAGGTTCACACCATTTTCTGGACCAGATCTGGTCTGGAAAATGGATTGAACCTGCCCTAAAACAGGATACCAGGTTATTTTATTCTTGGATAGGTTTTGGCTAAATGTTTTGGTGATTATGCATCTCCCTATAACATGACGTAGCATCTTTGTTCATAGAAAACATAAATAAACAGCAATTTTTTTTTGTATTTGTTTTGTTTTTATACAGTTGCTCTCGCCTGTAGCACCCAAAACAAACAATGTGAATGTGCAATCCAAGATGCAGCGAAGTAGTAAGTAGAATTGTAATACATATTCGAGCATTGCAGTGATTGAACTTTTGTAGAATGTTTGTGTCCAGTGATGGCCTGCTAAATACTTTAAATGTATGTAAATTGCCGTACACAGAAGGAGGAACCCAAGGGAGAGGCGTGAAATTGAAGCCAGTTCTGCCGACAGTGAAACGACCCCCAGAAAAGGGCCCCACAGAAAAACCTTTGACTGGGAGGGTCTTTTACCTGGATATCCCTTCAAAACTTATATGTGAAAAGTTAGAAAAGGATATTAAAGAGCTTGGAGGGGTAAGTTTGCTGCTTACGTTGCAGATGTTTAATGTTTTAGCAATAAAGGAACAGTTTCTGCAAAAGTTGTTGGTGTACAGATAATTTTGTTTAGAAGCGAACCTTAAAGTGACACTAAACTCAGGAGTTAAATCTTAAAAATGAATTCATGTACCTTTTTAACTATTAACAAAAATGTATCTTATTTGTGTATCACTCGGCTGTAGATCCTCAAATCATCTCTGAATTGGTGCTGACACTGTCCTTCCTTCTGGAGGGGGGCTACTTTTGTTCCCCATGGTGCCTGTGTGTGTTGTAAAGTAGTCACCACTCCAAGCTCACTCTCGTGATGGACTACAATCTCATGTTTGGTTTACTGATTTGTATTGTGATTGTAGTCCATCACAGGAGCGAGCTTGGAGTGGTGGCTACTTTACAACACACACACACAGGGACCATGGGGAACAAAAGTAGCCCCCCTCCAGAAGGAAGGACAGTGTCAGCACCAATTCAGAGATGATTTGAGGATCTACAGCCGAGTGATACACAAATAATTTTGTTAATGGTTAAGGTACTTGAATTCATTTTTAAGATTAACTCCTGAGCTTAGTGCCACTTTAAAATTATGACTTGGTTACTCTCTCATTATGAGACACTATTAGCTAGATAATGAAAATATATTAGATTTAACCATTTAAGAGACCGTCACCTGCCCATTCAGAGTAGAGTGACATTGTTTCCCCCCTGCAAGGTATACTCAGTAGGGATGCACCGATACCATTTTTTCGGTATAGGGTACCAATATTTTCACAGAATACCGATACCGGTCCGGTTTCTTGATTTCCCGGGAAGCCAGGTCGATGCCGATTGGTCAGGAAGCCGGCATTCCAGCCAATCAGCATCGAGCCAGCCAAACAGCATGAAGCCGGCTTACCAGCCAATCGGGAAAGTCATTACCCGCTGCCCAGCTTCCTGATTGGCCAGTAAGCTGGCTCCATGTTCCCTCGCGGCACTGAGAGATTTCCTCTGACAGGAAGTTACGGCATCGGAGGTAAGTATCGGGGCATTTGTACGAGTACTTGGCATTGGTGCATCCCTAATACTCAGCCTTCCACCCTTCTTTGCTGCCTTCCCACTGCAGGAGTTCCCTCTGAGTAAGTTCGGTGTCAGATGATCAACAGTGTTTCTTTAAGCTCCAGAGCCTGAGTGGGTAAAGAATAGTAGGTCTGTAGGGACGCTGGACAGCGGCACAATTGACACAGGGATAGACATTTTCAATCCTGATGATTTTTACCTTTTCCCGTTTTTTTTTTCCTTTTTTTTTTTTTTTTTTTTTTTTTCTAAATTCTTCAGACTGTTGAAGGTTTTCTCAGTAAAGAAATTAGTTATCTGATCACTAGCAAAAAGGAAGCAAAGTGCACAAAGCCTTTAAAGTATTCATGTTCCTTGTCAAGTCCTGAGCCTGCCCAGAATGCAGAAAGTAGTTCAGCTCGGCCAGGAAGTCACCGGGGAGGAATCCAGGAAGGGGGCTCCAGTAAGAAACCAGAAAAGGTAAGATACAGATTATGTGATGGTTAATTAAGATTGTACAATGACACAATTTGGAATAAGTAATGTGTAAACCAATTAGATATCGTCTGGACTGCCATAAACCGAAGAACTGAGATCTTACTATGGTGTGTTGCTATTTATACATAACTATTTCCTATTGTGCTGCTTTACTAAATTACTGTAATAGTGGAGACTCCCACAAATCTCACTGCTTAAGTATCACATGTGGCATTCATATTTTGCCTGAATGTGATTTGCAGAGGAAATGTAATTTGTCTGAGATTATATAATTATTTTCAGGTGGTTTTGTAAATATTGTGTATTTTCAAATTGATTTTATAGGATGATGTAAGCCGTGGAAAGTCTTTGCTCAAAAAGGTTATCAAAGGACAGGTGAGTCATTAATTTATAAACAATAATTTATTTGTAAGATTGTTATTCCAGATTTAATCTGCAAGTATTTTTAGAAGAGTTAATAAGTGACTCTGATGGGTATAAAGTGCAGAAAAGTCCATAAATCGGCCACTAAGAGGAATGTTGGGTGCCTGTCAAAGGGACCGACCAGCGCTCCGTCACTGCCACTAACATCTTTACCCCGTCTTCTTCCAAGTTCAGTTTTTTCAGCCATATTGATTGGCTAGCCTGGAATGCCACAACTCGCGTACATGTTTCAATGTTTCAATCTCTGTGGGAAGGAAATTAAAAATATGTAGTATAGGCCCCTGGAGGAGTCTAGTCTGGAAAAGTGACATGGGCTGAGCCTACAGCGATGGGTGCAATTTTACACATGCCTTTAAATGTATGGTTGTTTTAAATCTTTATAATACCAAATCAGAAAAGGGGCTACCTGCCTATCTGCCTCCCAGCACTTCGCTCTGCTTGCTTGCAGGCGGTAAGACTCGGAGTAGAATTTTACATGGTGGTAGAGGTGGTGAGAGCATGTTTCCAGTTCCACTTACCATTAAATATCCGCTTTGGTACTTTCTCTGTACGTACACTTGTAGAAGAGGAGTATATCATTTTGTTATATATAATTCTGGTACTTGGTTGTGTAAACATTTTTTTTTAAAGTTTTATTAACACTTAGGTGCTGTCAGGATACTGCTTGTATAACAATTATGAATGGCCATTTATATCTTAATGTATGTGATTTTAACAGGAAATTCTTCAGAAAAACAGCATATTGGCTAATGCCTGGAACTGGGGAGTCCGAATTCTGCATGTGGATGGTAACCAATACCTTGAAGTCTGGCTAAAAATAATACAGAGATTGCAAAACAAAGCTAACTTGATAGTTTAATATGCAGAAGAGGCCAGTGTTATCTGGTTGTCTCTTATTAGATTAAGTGACGTGTTTCCTGTGTGTGGGGGAGGAGATTCCATCTCGTGATGCTGTCCTGGAAGACTAATGGAAATAGAGTTACCGGTAAGTCCTAACTCTGAATTTCTAATGTTTAAGATGTGTTCCTAATGTAGTTCATTGTTTCCCATGCAGAGCAAAGTGACAATGTGTTTGTAAAGTCCCTATGTCCCAGTTAGGCCTCATTCACACGAGAAAAGGCCGGCACGTACAGCTGCGTGCTCGGCTGTATTGGGCATCTCCCGGGAAGGACAGGTGCTGCGTGTGATTAGTACATAGCCCCTGTCCTTCTCTATGGGAGTACGCCGCCCTATGCTCACCGCCTTGCACTTCCGTGCGGGTGTCCATACGCTGACAGAATGGATCCTGTCTGCGTCCGAGGCCAGGACACCCGCACCGGTACAGACCTGCACTTGGGGTAAGCATAGGGCGGCGTACGGCTGTGTACTCCCATAGAGGACAGTGGCTGCATACTAAACACGCAGCACCAGTCCTTCCCGGGAGCTGCCCCATACGGCCCCGTATGCAGCATGGAGCTGTACGTGCCGGCTTTTTCTCGTGTGAATGAGGCCTTATACTCAGCTTGTGAAAGCTCCTTCCTTTGTTGCAGCCAACATTAATGCCCAGTGTCAGCTGCTAGGGAGAGCAGTGATGTCACAACTCCTGTCATGTAACCATACTTGTGTGGAGCATCATGTGACTGTTCTTTAGTCCTGTTACATGGGAGGAGCTCACAGGCTCCCCTGAACCTGAAAGTACAAAATGTTATTGGCTGCAACAGAAGGTGTAGTGTAGGAGCCCTGACGAGGTGAGTATTCAACGGTCATGGAGGCCTGTGCCAAGGCAATGTCTCTAATTATTCTGCACAGGTAGTCACCCAGCAGCAAATGTGTAAGCAAGGCATCCATACAGTTATCTAGACTAATGCTAGGAGTATGTTTATAATTCATAGTTTATATACACTTACAGTCTGTCTTTTCCTTTTGAATTTTCCAGAGGCAAAAATATATATAGAACAGAAGAAGAGATTGTTTCAACAAGCGAAACAACCCGAAGCAGCTTCTAAACCAGTGGTAAATAATATGAGTTTATTAATTTGAGTGTGCGGTCAAAAGATTTATTTTTGAATAAAACTTTTTATTCTGTGCTATTTCACGAAAGGGCGCGGCTTGATTTGTAGAGAGAATTATATTTCCTTTTTCTTATGAGGTTATATGCAAAAACATTTGCTCTCCTTTTGTTTGTGTCTCAAGTATTTTACATTATCGGATATTATTTTTATTTATTTCACAGGTTAAACAACCAGTGCGACGAAAAGCAAAAGGTTCGTAAAAAAAAAAAAAAATTGGGTGGTGTAATATCAGCTTGGAATTTGAATAACAAATAGTGAAAATTTGTCTTTTTTTTTCCCCTTGCAGCACAAAAATTGAAGAGTCCGTACATCAAGGTGGAAGACAGCAGCTGGTAGGTTCCAAGCAATCTGTAAAACAAAAATGTTCCAAACAAAATATACAAAAAAAAATAATGTAGGGGAAAAAAAAAGTTAATAAATTTACTGACTTCTGTACTGCAGAGGGTGACTTCACAACCCCTGTGGCGAGACCCTGGGGGTGAGAATCCCAAATCTTGTGAGTACACACCAGCACGGTACAGGAGCATCTTCTTGGGAGATTATAGTCTTGTTCCCAGGGTAACACCAAAAGGATCGTGACGTCACCCTTGCTGTGTGTGTACTAAAAGCTGAGCATTGAAGCAAAGCACCGACTGGCCCATTTGCTATATAATATAATAGGCACCTCTAGTACTCGACTTTTAGCCTTCCTTTCTTTTCCAAGTATATGTTCCATTGTTGAGTCGAGAGCTCTAAGGGTCTCATTGATGGCTATTTGCACTCTTTATCCTGGCCTAACTACGAACACCACGGCCTGCTCATTTGTAAAAATCATGCGAGAGTTAACCTCTCCTTCAGGTCAGAAGCAATACTAATCAACATGACAACGTTTACCACTTAAAGCAAGAGAAAGTTGTTAGGGGGGGGTGAGTGGGGTGTCATAAATGTTGGACCTGGGAGTAAAGAATGTATCCTGATAACTAGAAGACAGAACAAATAAACATAGGATGACCAATAAACCCTAAACAGATCAGGGATATACCACATACATGAATATTATTATGTTCTGTATATTCATAAAAAGTTCTGGTAGTGTGTAAGAAAACCAGAATGTATATTATTGCATTTATTTGGTGAAAATGGGCCCTTGCTGTTTAGGAACAAAGGTAGGGGGGGCGCAGTTGAGGCTGTGACTGAATGTATTGAGACTAAGACCAGAAGGTCACATTTGAGACCAGGCATAACGTTCCTGAATGGCAAGGCATCTTGAGACATCAAGATGCTTTGATGTCTCCTCCATATTGCTAAAAATGTCTTTTTATTTATTTCAGTGCTTCCTCAAACTTTACTTCATTACTGCTTCACTCTCCTGAGCAAATATAGTATGAAATCTGTAAAAGACTAGGCTGCCGATGGGATGGGGAAATGCAATAATTTTAGTGTGTATACATCTTTTAGCTGCATAAAATCTATAGATTTGTTGTAAATATGCAAACTTCACTTTCCAGCCAGTACAGACCTCTCTATCTAGTGCTTCCATGCTTCCGATCTTTCCAGTCGCCTCCTTCTAAGCCGTGTCAGTCTGTGGAGAAGAAAGCCGCAACTGCTAATAAAGCAACGGAGACGAAGCAAGGGTACGCTGATGAATTATCACTTGTTTTTGGATTATTCAGTAAAGCCGTTCAAATGGCAATCATTTATATAGAGAACTTGGTAAGCCAGAAAACCATTAAGAAATCATAACTCTGCTCATCTGAGGAAGCTAAAGTTAGATGGTTGCTATGTATTAAGCCAGCAAAATTGTTGCTCTAAAATGGGAATATTTTACAGGAAAAACAGCTTCCTGTTGATTCTAATGTTCCTTGTTCCAGATTGTAATGCAGCTTTGGAAAAAAAACAAACCCCAAGCATTTTATTTTGCTTATAAAAATAAGATTATTGAAGTTATTTATTTTTACCATTTGTATGGTAATAGAGTTCTGTTTGCTTCTTTTGCAGTTTAAACAAAACTTGGCACGGACAAGATGGTGGAAACAATTCACAGTGTAAAATGAGGGAGCAGAAGAAGCGTGGATACTGTGAATGTTGTTTACAGAAATACGATGATCTTGAAGCTGTAAGTACTGTACAGTGTGTGAGGCCTCCTGCTGGCAGGCACTGAATACAAAGCCAACCACAAGGTGTTGTGTACTATACAGGCCCGTGCATTTAAACCTGACTTTTATTGGAAAAACAATAGTCCACTTACCATCTGTACTCTTCCTTTGTCCCCAGTTCCTGGCTCCAGTAGCATCTCATTCACGCTCTTTGGCCTTGGCAGCAATGTGGGGTCTAAAGGTGCCCATACACTGTACGATAATCGCAAAGTGTATGGAAGGCTTGCGACCGTTTCTACTGTACGATCGCACGTCTTCCGTCCAACAAGCAGGCTGGAAAACCCGCTGAGAATCATACGATTCTCGGCGGGTTTTCCAGCCTGCTCGTTCGACGTGCGATCGTACAGTAGAAACGGTCACAAGCCTTCCATACACTTTGCGATTATCGTACGATCGCGAGATTTCACGGGATTCTCGTACGATAATCGTACAGTGTATGGGCACCTTTAGAGTCTGTGACAGGATCGAGAGGTGAGCGACCGCCGGTATGTGTTCGCTCACCTCCCGATCTACTGAGCCGACCTGTGACAGTCTCATTGTCACAGGTCGGCTAGAGCTATGAGGTGAGTGAAAAGCACTCACCTCATAGTTCTCCTTTTAAGACTTGAGTTCTAGTGGCAGTTGGTTCTTTCTACCAGGCTCAGGTTTGGACCTTATTTCCTCACACAGTAAGGGCCACCAAAATGCACTGTGGGCATAATTTATCAAAACTGGAGCAGCTGTGAATGCCAACCAATCAGCATCGCTTTAGTTTGTTCAGTTAAGATTAGAAAATGAAACCGAGATAAGATTAGAAAATGAAACAGAGATGCTGATTGGTTGCCATGCACAGCTGCTCCAGTTTTGATAAATTCCCCTCTGTGTTTTTTTCGTTTGGACTGTATTGACATGTTACAAGTGACATATCATTCAGTTCTATGAGTACAGTGGGGTGCGAGGTTGTCATTCTGCGTCACATCCCGCTGTGCTGAAAAAAAGTACAGTGTGCCGCACTTTTTTTTTTTTCTCCGCACAATGTTCCCATTGCAGCGCAGTGGTGTGAACCGTGCCCGTCTGTGACAAGGCAAATTGCCGTGCTTTGGGGCTGTGCTGGAAAGAAAGACCAGCGCAGTCCCAATGCATATTGTGAGAGTCAGCCCAAAGTGAAGTGCACCCTCTCCTGACTCACTAGGGTAAGTGTGGCCTCGCACTCTCCGGCCCTCCAGCTGTGGTGAAACTACAAATCCCATGATACATCTCTCTTCGAGAGTCGTGGCTGTGAGAATCTTGCATTGCCTTATGGGATTTGTAGTTCCACCACAGCTGGAGGGCCGGAGGTTTGCTACCCTTGCTCTAAGGCAGGGGTGGCAAACTCCGGCCCTCCAGCTGTTGTGGAACTACAAGTCCCTTGAGGCTTTGCAAGATTCTCACAGCCACGACTCGCAGAGGCATCATGGGATTTGTAGTTTCACCACAGCTGGAGGGCCTGAGTTTGCCACCCCTGCTCTAAGGGAAGAGTTGGTCACCAAGTGGTTCCGAAACGTCGCCATGCGGTGACACTACAGAGGTCAATAAATATTCACTGAATTTGAGCGGGAGTGCAAGTGACTTTCTTCACATTTACATTGATTTGCGGAGGCATCCGCTGTCGCTTGGCACTCACCCGATACTCGAGGGTCTTATCCTGTCAGGTGTGCGATGGGTTCCATTTGAATATTGAACAATAATGGAGCTTAGCGCAGAAGTGAATGCTATGCTTAGTTTGGTAATATGTGATTCGATGTGCCGCAGAGAATTCTCCATCTAGTCATGTACATGGTTTACTTGACCTTCATTAGTTACAGTCCCTAATAGATGAAATGTTTTTCTTTCACTTTCCTGCACAATGTTTTTGTCCGTCCTCGTGAGGTCAGCTATTTTTTAATTGTTCACATGACTGCATTTTGCTTTTATACTTCCTAAACAATGTTGTCTTTCTTACTTTCCTTTATTGCAGCATCTTGTAAGTCAGCCACACAAAAACTTTTCTCAGGGTCCTTATTATCAAGACGTGGATAATCTCATCTCCATGTTTGATTTTGACTTTGTGGATTGGTCAATTTACAGACAAGATGCTAGAAGGTAAAGTGCTCACATTTTGGAGTATTGTCTTTCGATAGCTATTTGAAAAGGTTTTAAAACAGAGTCCCTGCAACGGAAAGGGTTAATACTTATCTGCCCCACCACCTGCTTCATCGTCTTGATAAGATAGGATAGCTGGCTAAAAAAATCTTCAGGGGTGTCAGATGTGTTGTTATTCCTGTCAACCCCTACTTCATTTCAGGACACAGGAGTGACCGTGTGTGTGTGTGTGTGTGTGTGTGTGTATGTGTGTGTTACCCAGCATAAAGCTTGGCATCAGTGGAGATCAGCAGTGCGGGTGGTAGGATAGGAAAATATTAACCCTTTTTTCTTTGCAGGGAGATGTGTGTGTGTGTGTGTGTGTTTCCTTCTGATTTTTTGGTATTTTTACCTGGAAGCTTTTTGTTGCTTTAGGAGGGGAGGAAGAGTAAAGTACAATGCATGTGCAGCAGTTTGCAAGCATAAAGTATAGCCTGCATTTTAAATTTTGGCTATATGGCTGTGTAGGTTGTTCATCCACAAACTGCAGGATAATTCTCCGTTGTACTCGCCGTGTGATTCCAAATTGTCTGATGTTAGTTGAAGATTAAAACAATTGTTGCCATCTGTTTCCTGCTGACGTCTGTTGTGACTGCTAGATTATTCATTGTCCTTGTGAAGATTGCCGGTGTAGTTTTAGCATAAGAGCCAAGCACACGAGGAAGACTTGTACTGAGGGAATATGGATGATTACCTTTTTCTTCTGAAATTACAGTACTAGTACCAGAGCTGTCATGCTGATCCGGTGTCTTTAGTACCATCTGAGTTACTCATGTATAACAGCATGCAGATCGGTATTCCTCACTTAAAGTTATCATTAGTGCTATTCTGACGCCAACCGTTGTATTAGTGATTTATGCCTGGCCTGTATAAGCAGATACAATCACCATGGACAATCCTTATCAGATAGCTGAACTCGCCAAATACCTTTTCATCCACGAAGATCTTTATTGAATGCAGCAGATTACAGGAAACGGGATGTAACAGCTTATTAGACTATTTGCAGGTCAAAGATGGTAATGTTTCCCCCATGTGCGCATATTATCATGTGGCCTTGAGACAAGCTGCCATATTACCAAAAAAGACAACTTGGACAAGAAAGGAAGTGCATCACACACAAGGGGAGGGGAACAGAGTAAAAGATGGTGCTATGGCCACAGGATGGAAGTATATGAACCAACTTAACTGCCAATAAACAATGGCTTAAGGAAAATTAACTATGTCAATTCTTCACAGTAATCTAAATATTAGTCATGACTATGCCTTGTATCATATTTTCATACAATAGATGTCACACCACAAGTGGATTACTGCCGCGGGCATGAAGTACAGGTGACTACAAATACCTGCAGCAGCCTTCAAACCTCTGCTCTGTCAGGCCAGTCCTCGCACTTCCAGATAGTGTTGACGCTTGCTCACGCTTTTCGCACGTTCTTATTGATGGATAAGATTGTCCATCATAGTGATGAGCAAATAAGAACTTGAGGGCGGTAGGCTGAAGAGGTAGCAACAAACCTCTCTCGCTACCCAGAAGTGTAGGCGCCATTACTGTCCACACAGCCCGGCATGTAACAGTAACAGCAAAGTTTTAGAGGCGGGTGCAGGTTCCTTTTTAGAAGTCACTCAGCCAGGTTAGCGGCATTTTTATAGGGAATTCAGCATTGGCAACTCCCATATTTTCTGGTTTCCTTGGATGGGAAAATTTAAGACGAGCCGATTCCATCTCACTAAAGCATGGCTAAGCACATGTGGACCGACGCAGTTTCTGAACAATAAACACTCGCGTTCAGAGAAAAGGGTAAAGAGGTGATCGGTTATATTGAATGATTCAGCAGCTCTCAATGCTGATTATCCTGAGTGATGGTTTCTTTCTCTGTTATTTATTTTTAGCTCTGCGATGTTGATGCCGACTGTGACTGTGAAGTGGGAAGAAAAGGAAATTACGGAAAGGCATCTGCAGAGTTACCAAAAAATCTCTTCATCTGTTAAACAGACACCTGAGACCATACAGAGGACTGAGTCTGAGGCTCCACTTGCTGCTGCTGCTGACGGTCTTGTCAACAATCACATTCAGAGCCCTGAACCTATGGAATCTAGTATTTGCCCCGTTCAGACTGTGGACAATGCCAGTGCAACGGACTCTGGTGACATCCCTCCTGGAACGCCTGCCTTCCTCCCAATTACTGACAACTCCCCGATCCCTGCAGGTGAACCCATAACTGTGTGCGATCAGGATTGTATGCAAACCACCACCCATAGCCTAGAGCATACCCCACGACGATTAACTTTTGGTCTATCGGTGGTTGCCACAGCTATCCAGAAATGTTCGCCCGAGCATGGAGAGGGCTGTCCCAGCAAAAAGATTAAATTGGATGGTTCCTTGGTTTCTGGAACTTTGTACTCTGAACCTGTGGATGCTGATCATGTGACCAGTCCAAAACCAGTAATGGACACTGTACCTGGGGTTTTGGAGACGACTGGTCTATCAAACCATTCAGGTGCGTTCCGTGACCAAAGTCCTCCCAGCTCCCCCAGCAAACTGCAAAGAAAGGTTAAACAGTCGGTGCGCAAGCCAAGAAAACAGGAGGACCTCCATGTCACACCTGTATGTAAGGTGTCTGTTCCAGTGGAAGAATCTGAATGGAGTTCATCCAGGGAAAGGCTTCTATCAATATTTGAGACAAGTGAGGTGCAGTCTGAGTTCTGTGGCTTTTCTTACAAATCTGAGAATTTACCTCGTGGTGTGAACCTCAAAAAGGAGTCGCCGTCTTCCGGAGGCGACTTTCATTGGTGCTTGTTTTCAACCACGAGTTCTTCTGCCGAGACATTTCATGGGTTTTAAGAGGATTTTATGTTTTTATAATTTTTGTACATATACACACATGTATATTTTATTAATGCCCAAAAATGAGTTTGTACATTTTTTATATTGTTTTTGGGTTCTTTTGTTGGAGTAAATGGTTTTTATTTTAGTGCAATGTACTGAATGTTCATCTAAGAGGAGAATTAATTTTAGGTACAAGAGCAGGTTTTTAATGCCCCAAATGAGTCTTTGATGGCAGCTTTTCACGATCCGCAGCCCAAGAAAATGATTTCCATCCTACTATGGACCATTTTTTAAAACTTTGTAGCTCTGCACAGTTCTGGCATGTGTTCAGCCTATTTCCCCCCCCCTCCTCAGGTGCTGGCTCTCACACATCCTCCCATTACATACAAAGAACAGCTGCATACTGTAATGCAATTACTTATGCTTTGCTTACAGCGCATCCCTCCTGAGCTCTGCACATCACTTCAAAAAGGTTCATCCTCAAGTTTGTTTTCATTTCTTAAGAGATTAACACTAAGAATCGGCTCTTTAGTGTGCAATGTAATGTACGGTTGAGTTCAGGCAGGACGTGCTCTGAGCAATAAAGTTTCTTGCAAGATTGCATTACAGTGTGTGACTTTTGATCTTTTGGATCCTACTATGGAGTAGCATCTGGCAGCACACGTTCCTCATTCTGTCTTCATGCCTTACCCACTCCGAAAAAAACTGAAACAGGTAGCTAGGTTTCTCATGTAGAGATCATAAATCCACGGCATGCACAGTTGGTGAGGCCCGAGGAAAGGTTTCAGAACTTGTGTGCTAGAAGTTGAATGATAAAAAAAATAAATCTTCTCTTCTGTCGGGATACAGGGAGATGTATGATGGCCTTTTGCAGACCTCGGTGGGAGGTACAAAAGAGCTCTAAAGGCCCCATGGTGTTTTAAGCTCTGCCCCCCTCCATTCAAAATATTGTACTAGCGTCTGGTTTGTATAGCCCTGGCTGGGAAGAGAAAGAAATATTGAAAGTTGGAAACATGACCAAATCATCTACGACAGGAAGGGTGACATGAATTGGCATCCAGATACATGAGCAGCTGCCCATTCACGGCACAGCTGTAGTCTTTGTATCTCTTGGCACTTCCAGTTTTGTCCACCCAGCAGCTTGTTTTTGTTTAATGAAGCCTTGGTCCGGCTCAAGCACTCAGAGAGCGGAGAGGATTGCTTTTCTAGAAGCAGTAATCCAATGTGGCACTTTCCCCCTCACTGCAGAGTCAGAGCTGTCCTGCTATCCAGGTCCCGCAAAGGCCTCCAGACTTACTCTATCCTCCATAGGGGGTGGCTGCAGCAGAGTCTCGGCAACATCTCTCTCCTGGCGATGGGGTGCACAGGACTATCCTGTGATGGATATTTCCTGCCAAGCAGGAGCTTAGGAGAACCCCCACTATTCTTCATGGAAACTGATAGTTGAAGAGAGACAGAAGGCAATGCCTTCAGCAGACACTGTCATAAAGAGCAGCATCTTCCAGCATAGGGACTAAGGTCAGCTGACCTATCACAGGGAGCCTGTTTCTTAACTTATCCTTAGGTGGTGTCCAACGGAGATTAGTCTGAATACTTTCTCCCAGAAAGGATCCCCTGATGGTCTAGGTCTAGGACCTGTCTGTTTTCATAGAGCGGGACTGAAGTACCAATGAGTTCCTCTAGAGCAGTGGTTCTCAACCTGTGTAACCTCGGGACCCACATGTTTCCTTGGTCATTAAGGCGTGACCCAAAAATGATTTCATTTCTGAAACATTTTAATTTATTACACAAAACATCTTGTGCAGTATTCAGCTATATATATCTGAATACTGCACAAGATGTGTGTGTGTGTTATGACAGGGGACAGTGATGGATATACATGATGAATATTATGTGGGCTTCTCTCCATCAGAGCTTCTCTCCATCAGTGTCCCCTGTCCTGCCACAGTGCACATCTCCCTATCTGCCTGCCTACCTTTCTCTGATTCCAGCCGACTGAACTATCTGGACTGGAGAGTATAGTAGATACAGCGGCGGATTGATATCTGCTGTACTCTCCAGTGCAGGCCGGGCCGGAACTTTAACTTAATTGTCGGGCACCGCGGCTCCTGATATTAATGTGCCGGCCGAAAGTGAGGAAATAGTCCCCTCTCTCCCCTGGCCATACCGCTTTATCGGAGAGGCCGGGAGAGAGGGGACAGTTTGACATTATGAGGTTCCACAGGCTGAACCACAAATTCCCCCTCTAGTTCTCTCTAATGCAGATGGGCCGGTCTATGCAGACATGACGCCGCGACCCACTGCAGAGGGTGTCGCGACCCACGAGTTGAGAACCACTGCTCTAGAGCAGGGGAAGAAGTTACTCCAGTCTCCCCAAACAACCGATGGGTAGAGTCAGGGACTACTTGATCCAAACAGACCTGCCTGAAAATCAGGCTCCCAAACATAGAAGGGGAGGCAGAAAAGGACTGGGTGCCTACAAAAGGGAGAAACCAAGTCAGACAGGAATTCCCTAAACACCATAGAAGCCCTAACAAGAGAAGGAAGGGTAATGTTCTTAAATGGAAGGGAGGAATGGTCCACAAGGATAGCTCTTTAGGGAGGGCCTGGGTGGAACAACCTTGCCAATTGGTGACCCAACACTACACCATTGGGAGGCTGAATCCAGATGAAGCTTGCAGGTGTTAAGCCCGTCTGAAGGGTTAGAATTGCAGAGTTTAGAAAACAGGCCTTCTGGGGGGGGCCAAGTGGCCAAAAGAGGAGAGGGATACATTCGAGGGGTGTCTAGTACAGTGAGGGTTCCAACAGCATCTGAGGACAGAGGAGTCTGCTTCAAGCAAGAGTGTGAGACCATAGGGAGAACTACTCCAGGATACTCAGAGCCCAGACTGAGCCCTGAAAACAGTACCACCAGAAAAAAAGGGGCAACTGAAGGAGATGCCATTTTCAAAGGATTAACCTGAGAGCTACAGGAGCAACCAGATGTCTAGTGGGGAAATTACCCCGAAATCCTTCTGGATAAACAAACGGCCCCCACTCCTAGAATCTAACCGGGAACTGTGGGCCTAAATGGGAAGTAGTCTCAGAATGCAACTACTGCAGTAGTGGATGAATGTGAAGGTTCTCAACTGGTGGGTCGTGACCCTGTGTTCAGTGGGTCACCACATGCCTTCCACTTTTCTAGATGAGAGGCTTCTAAGCTTCCCCCTATCACAGCACTGTCAGTTCTAGCGCCAAGCCATTCAAAATATGCTGCCCTATACCGAGTGTCAGCTTGAGGTGGGGTGGGCTGGTCTGGGGTTATGGCCATGAAGGAGCTTCATCCATACGTGCATTGTTTACAGCTCCCTCACATGTACTATACAGGTGCCTGGACTGTGTGTGAGATTGTGTGTCTGTCAGTGTTTTTGAGGGCCGGTTCACACTAGTACAGTGCATCAATCGAACAGTCCTGTGCCATTAACGCACTGTACCACGCAATCGCACCTACTATGCGTTCTGGTGCGGGAGGTGCTTTGTGTTGCCATTTATTTGAATGGCACCCCAAACGCACCTCGTGCCCACAGTTAAGAATGCGCAGTACCACAATGCTGTGTGTTCCATTGCAGTGCGACTTGGGTCGCGACTTAATTGCCAAGGACAAATGTGTGTCCCGAGGTTACACAGGTTGGGCACCACTAGAGTAAAGTGAGGACAGAAGCGTGCACCTTGGTGAAGACCCTAGGTGTAGTGGATAGGCCAAAAGGGAAGATAACAAGAGGCCAGTAAGGCCAGCAAAACGCAGATAGCGCTGATGTGCAGGAAAAATGGAAACATGTCGGTAAGCATCCTTCATGTCCACCAATGCCGGAAAGTCTCCTGGGTGATGGGAGGAAATAACCAACCAGGTTGATTCCGTCTGAAAACTGTTGTTGACATGGAGAACCAGTACGGGCCGAATGCCTCCTATGGCTTTGGGGACTGTGAACAGGTTTGAGCGCCCCTGTGATCTTGATAGAAGACCGGGATTCACAAAAAAAGGTGACCCTTATCAAAGGGCATCCGCAAGAGGCACTTCTTGAATGGGAGCTGAGCAGACCAACATCTGAGCCACAGGGTCCACCCCAGATCAATAGAGAGGCGGCCCATCCTGGAGGTCTGCCAGGCCACCCATGCAGCAGTGCGGGGTTATACTGCCACTTCCAGGAGGCCTGGACACCAGCAACAAAGAAAACTGTCGGCCACTTTCTCAGTCACTGGCCCCGAACAAATATGCGGTTCTGACTACACTGTATTAGTGACTCAAAGTTCTGAAGCCCGAGGGTCAGGCTCAATGGCAGCCTATGTTTCCCTCACTGCACCACTTCTCTTCATAGTTCATGCGTTTTGTTTTTGGATGGCTTTAATTAGTCAGCAGGTGGCACTGGAGAGCTGCAACACTCCCTGACCCATTGCAATGCAAAGCTGCTACGGTTTTAAAGGGTCAGTCCACCCAAAACTGGTATTTTTAGTGGCTGTTGAGAGCTGATTCCGCTTCACTTCTTTATAGCACTCGAGAGTACCAGCTTCATGTACTTGCTATGGATTAGATTGTATCAATGATTCATTTTACCTTGGATCAGGAGTGTCCAAACTTCAACCCTCCCATAAGGCATTGCAAAACTGACAGCCACAGGCATGACTCCCAGAGGCAGACGCATGATGGGTGTTGTACTTCCACCACATGTGGAGGGCTGAAGTTTGGCTACCCCTGCCTTAAGATGTCCATACACCTTACGAATATCGGGCGATTTTCGTATGCAATCGCATTTTCGTCCGATAGTCGTAAGGTTGATGGGCAGCGTACAACCACAAATACTGTACAATCCATCGACTTATGTACAATCCATCGACTTATGACCCACCAGCAGGTTAGAAAACTTCGCTCAATCGTACGATTTTTGCAAGATTGAGGTTTCCATACGTTGCAGACGAGAATATGTGCTGTCGATTACCACAATTGGTATAGGTGCTTTTTTTTTATCTTATCGCTGGTC